TAATGATTGTACAGATTCATAAGCTGCTAATTTAGGAAGAGAAGTAGTCAGTGATATTCTGCTCGTCTAGATTGCGGATCTAGATCTTGTGCTTGATCATCAGCTCTTCATCATCTCACTGCTCATTTATATTCTTCTGCAGGGATGAACTAAATCACAACCTGTTTGTGCCTAAATATTAATAAGAATATTTCATAAGAGAACACATTGTATGTAAATTAGCTCATAAATATTGTTAATGAGGGAAAACACAGAATCCAGGTCAATAAATGAGATATAAAGCAGTTGTTCCAGAGTCGTTTCTCTCTGACAGTGTTTCTGATTTGTCAACATTAATATTAATCTCTTGATGAAATGATGAATGGATCTTGATCATCATGAGGAAATGAATCCATCATTTTCAATGAAACGATTCTCTGTCTGCTGGTTAGACTGAATTAGTTGAGTCAAGCCTGTCAGTTGTCTCTTCCATCAGATTTTCTGATAATAGTCTAAACTGTGAGACCGGATGAGAACGGCAGCGGCTCAACAGCATCTTCATCTCTTTTATCATCTTTATTGGAACTAAATTGAATTCGTTGGCCATTACACACTAATGATTGTACAGATTCATAAGCTGCTAATTTAGGAAGAGAAGTAGTCAGTGATATTCTGCTCGTCTAGATTGCGGATCTAGATCTTGTGCTTGATCATCAGCTCTTCATCATCTCACTGCTCATTTATATTCTTCTGCAGGGATGAACTAAATCACAACCTGTTTGTGCCTAAATATTAATAAGAATATTTCATAAGAGAACACATTGTATGTAAATTAGCTCATAAATATTGTTAATGAGGGAAAACACAGAATCCAGGTCAATAAATGAGATATAAAGCAGTTGTTCCAGAGTCGTTTCTCTCTGACAGTGTTTCTGATTTGTCAACATTAATATTAATCTCTTGATGAAATGATGAATGGATCTTGATCATCATGAGGAAATGAATCCATCATTTTCAATGAAACGATTCTCTGTCTGCTGGTTAGACAGAACTTCACATTAACATCAACTACTAGTTTATACTGGTTAGTGGTTAAGCTTCAGCTCATCATGTTCTTCAGTGTGTTTGGTCTTCAGACAAAGAAAGAGGAATCATCTGAGAGAAGAAATGGTGTTTGTTGTAAACAGTAATCTCACATTCCTTCAGCTGTGTTCAGATGTGGAAGCAGATAATGAAATGTTCTCAGGGTTGTTTGGTTTGTGTTCATATCCGTTATCAGGGACAAAATGTATTTATTGTGTTTGTCCTTCTGATCTCCTGAAAGAATCGAGCGTCTCACTTACTGAGTCCGTTAGAGACTGACAACTCTACACTTTTTACTTTTTACTTTACATTTGATGTCCCTGTAATCGTTACTGCTCTGCTCATCTTCATCCATCCTTTAGTTTCATGAGAATCTGATCAATGCGTCACTAAGGTTTGTTCACAGCTGTGTTTGATTGTGTTTCTGTCAGCAGCACAACACGCAGGTGTGATGTGTTTCACATTTACAGTGAGGCATGTCAATTAAAAGTGTAATCTGTACTAACAAATAAAGCAGTGTTATGATGGAGATGAATATGAAGATGACCCAGTGTTTCTCTGGTGGGACGTGGCTGACTCCTGCTGGTCAAACTGAACACTGTTCATCTGAGATCATTCAGTCTGATCTCTCTTCTCTGATTATTGCTGCTTGTTTATTGACATAGACACGAGGACACAAGAATCATGAATCTGAAAGTTTAATGTAATAATATAATAATCACACACCTTCAGAATGAGAGCATGTTTGTGCAGTTTGCAGTTAATTTCACACAAAACATCTGACGCTCCTGCTGTCAGATATCACTGATATCATAGATTAATTCCTATGCATTCACTATTTCCTATTTCACTCCCTGTTTAACAGTTTTTCAGGTTTTTATTGAGGTTAGTTGTTGAAGTGTGGTTGGTAGAGGTTGGTTTGGTTGATAAAACCTTTCATATCTTCATTAGTTTTAATGCTGACAAACACAAACTGAAGTATGAGGTTAATAACAGAAACAACAAATCACACATCATTATTCTGAGTAGAATGAATGTTCTGAGCTGCATGTTTAGCCAAAGAAATAACATGACATTGTGATCTACAGGCATCTAAATGGTGTATATTATTGGCAGTTTTTAAAATGTTTTATCTGGTATTTTTGTCTACTGCTCTAATTGATATGATTGATGGAAGGATATTGGCCGTACATTTTATGTGCATCATATTTGAGACAGATTCCTGGTTTATTTCTAGGATGAACTTTGGATCTGGTAAAGCAGCGAGCCAGTGTCTTGTGACCCGGTCTGTGAAATCCAGGCTAAAGTCTCAAAATGTAATTATGAGATAACAAGCATTGAAGTTTGATTTCAACCATTTATTTCACCATGATTTTAATCTTTGACATGGCTATACTCAGTCAATACTAAAGATATCAAAATTACATTATCACAGAATGTTATTTACCTTATGAAGTATGATTTTATGTAGAAAACAGTAAATCACACACACGCTCGCTCACACTCACACACACACACACACTCACACTCACACTCTCACACACACACACACACACACACACACACACACACACACACACACACACACACACACAC